TCTCTTCAAAAGTAGAAATAGCTAATGCCCAACTCTATCATTTTCGGTAAAAAAATTCAATGATCTTGTTTAACAGAAAAATGTTTTTAATTATGTTTAGATCACTTCGAAATAAAATCTTGTTTTAAAAAAGCTTTGTATTTATTTTAATTTTTAATAACTTAAATATGTATAAAAGCAAATTAAAATTGAAATGCAGGGGCGCATCGAGATCACCACATTCGCGCTAGACAGGTTCCAAATTAACAGGGGAAGATCGCCACTAGCCATATGCCTGGGTACAACTGCCACCGCCCGTGCAAAGGTCGCTAGTTCTCGGCCCAGCTCGTCGTTCCAAAGGTCGTTCTCCCTGGCCCAGCTGCCCATCGTTCCAAAGGTCGCTCATTCAGCCGTCTCAATTTCACCCAACACGGTCTCCCTTGAAGGAAATCACGATCAGGAGTAACGATGACGTCTAGTTTGGACAACTTGATGACGAGTTTTCGAAAGATTCCGCTGGCAGTTCGGGCTTCCGCAACTCGTACAATCCAGTCTTTTCCTAGGAATACATTTTCCACAATTTCGAGTGGACAACTTCGCGTCTTAGATTCTCGTCCCCATATCTCCGACGGCAATATTGGAAAATTCTTAATCCACTTGTTTCTTCCCTGTAATTTTGGCAAGTGCCCTTACAGTAATCGTTTCCAGAACATATCTGCAAAGCGTTGCGTGATTTACCATATTTTTTCAGAAAAGGTCTCTAGCGTATAATTTCCCTCGAGATTATAATGGGTTTAATGCTCTAGTGATGTTGTGCATAGGTGTCAGGGCCTTTGGTGACAAGCGATCCACAGGCACATCTGTCAATGGGCGACTAATTATATGTTTCAACTCGAGTCCAAATAGTTGTCCTTAGATTGCTTGTTTACAATTGAAGCTGCGGCGTGTCAGGAAACAATTTTCCTGCTCTCGTGCAATGAGCCTCCTTATATACTGCACCCAGAATGGGAACAGTCATTTCTGAACATCACCTCTAGTTGATGTATAACTGGGGTTTTTGGCGTCTTCTCTCCTCCAAAACCTCAGAAAAAGGCTATTTTATTTGCGAATTTGGAACTGGGGAAACATTTCCTCTAAATTCTCGATAAAGAGGCAATCTTCCTTTGTCGAACTTCAGTATAAAGCCTGGTAGGGAATTAAGAAGATCAGGTCCGGTCAGGAGTAAGTTCCACATTCTCGCCCCTCCAGAGTAATCCGGTCACGTATCTTTCTCCTACTCTTCATCTCACCTCCGTGATCATGTCGTCAGTATCCTCTTTGGACCTGAGGTTAGTGGCCTGGGTAATTCCGATCTATTCCAGAGTAAATGTTTATTCCATAAGGTTATGCATTAATTCCTCGTTGTCCTCATCGAAAAAGCGAAGCGTAACATCCTCTGCTGGTGTTTCTTCTAGAAGTCCGTGGATACTCTACCCAAGGAATCTCTTTTTTTCAATCACCTCGCGGACGATCGTCAGATAACCGTGTCTTTGTCCAATTAAAAACTCCGACTTCATCTCATCTGTCGATAGTTCTACTGCACCTAGATGTGGTTATCTGTCGCTGAGTTTCGGGACATTCAATAAATGAGTTGGCAGGTTCAAGTCTTCTAGTGTGCGAACGTGGTCTAACCTAAATTTCTCACCACCAGCACTGTGTTTGTCACTTTTCATTCGTTCATTTTAGCCTCTGGCGAGTTGACCACTGTCTGTAGATGCTTCGTCAAGAAGAGCGAAAGTGGATATCTTTCCTCCTGGACCGTAAATGACGATGGGGATCACTTGAAACAGAACAGGTGATAAGGCTTGGATGGTATGAGAATTCGTTTAATCAAATGACGGCCGTACGCCAATAGTCGCGTCGGACTTATTATTTGGGTGATGATGTAGGCGATGATGTGGCCCCAGGTTCTCTTTCTCTCATGCATGTTGCCATTCGGTGCTCGGGGTGTAAGCCGAAGATGCAGAGTTTCTTCCGTATCACTGTCTCCATGCGTCTGTCGTAGTCGGCGTTCTTGAATTCCTGACAGTATCCATGAAGTATCCATGCTCCAGCTTCCTGTATCTCTTAAGTCGACGTTGACGTGAATACGACGCTATACACGAGGCAGAGGTCCTGGACGTTGTTCAGAGACAGAACGTTTACATCAACTGCATGCTGCCTAACGAAGCAGCAAATCTCCACACTCCTAGCGCGAACGGCAATGCCACGGACATTGAGGCACACCATGCGGAATCTCATGACGTTTTCCTTCCACTTGCTCTAGCCCTGGTGTTATTAAGCCGGTTGTATAGTTGACAGACTTTATCTTCTACACATAATATGATATTCCTTGTGAGTTCTATCAGGCAGCCTGCCCAGCTGCTCAGGATTAAGGGAAAAGATCAGTTTCTTCATAAGGCCTTTGTTGCTGATTGCCTGCATAGCCTTTTCTCTCCCTTTGCCCGCTGCCTCAATGTCCTCGAATAAAGTGTCAGGGAGTCGTTCAAGAACCGGTTTCAGCTGCTCAAGGGGTAAATATGTCTTTGTTGTTGTTTCTTCCTTCTGAGAACTTTTCCTCCTGCACATTGAGAATAGGACGTAGGGGCAGGATGGAAACGGAGACCTTAGTCTGACTTACTTTGCCAAAGAAAGTGTCTTTTGATGCTGATGATATTGCGGCACCTATAACAGGTGTCGAAAGATGACGCCGCGGGAAAAGAGATATTTATGGCAGAGATCTGTCAGAGATCAGAGAGGCGTGCCAATGTCTGGTGGTGGAGTTGCGGCAGAGCCGGTAGAGGACGGCGTTTGTGTAGCAGGAGGAGGAATCGCTGGATACTGCTGAGATATATGCTGACGAGTAGGGCGCTCCCTCCTGGGGCAGCTGGCTCGCCAATGTCTATGGCGATGCTACATGCTCCATTCACGTCGTGTGTGATGCAGGCAGGTGTTTTTTTTTTATTCTTGGACTTGATGTCCAGTTTCGCAGCGAGATGGTAAAGCTTCATGCCTTCATTCATGAAGATGAAGGCCTACCTGTTACCTGTGGTCCAGAAGTAGCTCTCGCAATTCATTATCTCGAAGGCCAGAGATACAACCCGGCAGAATGGTCGCAAAGTTGCAGCAATGTCTTCCTCCTTTATTGCGATTGGCAAACTCTCTATTATGATCTTTTCTACCTTTTCCTGTAGGAGAATGCTCTAAGGATGGTATTTCCGATGGCAATTCCATCTTCTTCCAGGCGCTCCGCTTTATCCACACGGACGAGTCCGACCAGAACCTGACCGGGAATTTCTATGAGCCACCCATAGATAACCTTCAGCACCATGGAAATAGAAAAAAACACTGTTAAGCACCATGGAAATAGAAGACTGTTCAAATATTATGATCCCATATATATATGTATCAAGAACCGGTTTCAGCTGCTCAAGGGGTAAATATTTCTTTGTTGTTGTTTCTTCCTCCTGAGAACTTTTCCTCCTGCACTTTTAGAATAGGACGTAGGGGCAGGATGGAAACGGAGACCTTAGTCTGACTTACTTTGCCAAAGAAGGTGTCTTTTGATGCTGATGAATTCTTGTGTACCTCTTTTAATACCTGTCTCAAGCTTTCTGGTCTCAATGCCCTTCTACAGGAGCTTTGATGACTCACTACGTCGCCCATTTAATAAAAATAATCCAGGGAATATGTATAAATTGGTGTAGAAGGGCGTCAAGGCTCCAAATCTTGAGAACGATATTAGAAGAGATATACGAGAAACCTAATCCTGTTCCCAACTGATATAACACGGCCTTTACACCGAATAGAGAGATAATGGCAAAGCGGGCTGATAGATTAACCCAGGAAAACTGCTTGAAAGCATTGAGTCAGGATCTTCCAATATAGATATCATTTTCAATAGTATTTATATTGTAGCGAAGTATTTTTTATTTTGCACTTGTATTAACAGAGTATCATTTTTTAGGTTTATTTTTTCCTACTCTGTAAACTTCCTTCATTGCTTATCTTTTGTTTATCATTGATAGCTTGTTCTTGGCTTATATAAATTGCTGTGTCATCCTGAAGTTTTTGTCTTCCCTAATTTTTCATGTTTCACTGTTGAAGGAATGACAAGTCCGAAAGCTTGAAAATAAAAAGTTGCACAGAAAACTTAACCCTGGAAGCTTTATTTATTTTATAATAATATATAAATTCTTTATTTATTACGATATATCAATCAGGATAATTGCAAAAGATTTATTTATTTAGTTGAAAATGGCAAAAAAAAACCAACAAAACAAACATCTTCGATAAAGCTTGTCATTTTTAACTGAATAATGAAACCCTTTGCAATTATCCTGATTGAAATATCGTGTTTAAAACTTTGCAATTATTTACAATCTAAGTCAAGATGGAGTTATCTCTTTATTTATTGTTGCGGTAACGAGTCTTCTGGTTAGAGAGAAATAAGGATATCCCAGGCCCCTGAAGCGCAAGAAACGCCAACCGCCCGGTATTTTGGGTAGATTTGAATAATAAGTTTTATATGAACTTAAATAGTTAAATAGTTTGAGATATAAAAAGTTGAATAGATAAACTAAGTTAACTAATAAAAATAAATATTAATTAAGGAGATAATAACAAAGACCCAAACGGCTAGCAATCAGCTACCTCTACAGAAGGAAGTTAATGCTTACAAACTCCCTGCCTAGAGCGCGCGCCATCTGTCGGGGCTTAGGTACGCAACACTTGTTGAGCTCTGCCGATGTATTATTGACGTTTACAGGATATGCACATTTTTGGGTATGCAATATTTATAAACAATAAATATATTTGTTGTTATTAAATATTATGATAGTAATTGATTGTAGGAACAACTATCAAATAGAGAATAATGTTTGTAGAACGACATTTCAAAATTATCCCGCATGTGTTTCTTTTGAAGAAATAACGATTATTTATAACCTTAGGGATGACTTATGAAGAGTGTGAAGAGTAATGATAGACGGAAAAATAAAAGTGTTCAGGGATGGGAAACGAACCCACAGTGTTCCGCTTACCGGGCAGATGCCATGTCCACTAGGCTACCCTGGACATATTTTTCCGTTCGTAAATATTATATGAAGTAATTTATAATACAATATATGTGTGTATATATAGCAGAATTAAATATAATTTATATGAAAGATAGCTGGTATTAGAGAAGGAGTATTGATAATTAAAAACAAATTAGAAAAATATTACTTTTAAGGTGTCAAAAAGGTTTTGTATTTTAAGTAACAACATAGGGTTATAACAAGTTCACGCTGTAGCATCGGCAGTTACGCGTCATAGAAGCAAAACATTAGGGGGGGGGAGGGGGAAAGAATAATTGAAGGTATTAGGATAAGAAAAAGAGCAAAGACAGAACCATGTCAACCTTTCATCAAACTTTTAAGGGTAAAAAAGAAAGAATATATAATTTTCTTTAAAAGTATTTTTTGATTAGGATATACTCGCGTATATATATATTTAAAATAAAAAGGCATATCCTGAGCAGGGTCCCATGTGCTTTACAGGAGAGAGAGCGCCATCTGGTGGAACAGAAATCAACTAAACATTGATTTAGCCTGTTCCCTAACACCTGACCTATTTATTGTTTTATTATTTTATTCTATCATTTTTTCATTTATAATTTTTTTTCATATATATATTGTCCAATATATATCCTAAGCAAAAGACAAAGCATGGTAGTAGTACTTATACCAAGTACGCCATGATCATCATGGTGGGTAGTAAGCGACTGTCTTTACTGAAAGAGTACACCACATGTGTAGAAAACAGTTCGATTTTTTACCTCACAAGTGTGCCAGAGCCCCGTTAGATTACTTGTACTTACTGATGAGATTGGTATTTTGCTAGAATCTGAGGTCGAATCAATTTTTCCAGAATAATTTGTTTAATTATCTGTTTGATTTATTCAGTGCAGACGATACGTTACAATAATTACAAATCATAGCTTAGATGAAATATGACGCGAGGGCCGCCGTGAGATGGCAACGAACCTAGTACTGAGCGGGCCCTGTCCGAAAATATCCACTGTAACCTAACTAACTGTCAACACCAACGCCCCTTCTTTGTCCCTCTCTGGATCCCCCGGGTGTCCAGTGGCAAGTTGGTGTCACTTTGAGACGACTAGAAAAGACGTCATACTTTATTACTTACACATCATATTGTTTAAATTACGATATATATTTAAAAATTATTTTATTATACTTATTAGGACTCATATATTATTACTTAATTCTTATAAATGTACATATATAGTCTATATATTTTAAATAATAGCCCCATATATATATATATAGAGAGAGAGTGAGTTTTGTAAATATTTTATATATCGTCGCGTGAAGGCATCGTGTGATCAATCAAAGCAGTTTAAAAACAAGAAAAGTCCTGACGAAGTAAGGCGTACAGCCTATTGAAATATTGGAATTTTGTAAAAAAATAAAATGTTTTATTTTATTTTAGATCCAAAATATGCCTTTTAATTAATATACATATATGCTGTATAAAATAATATTAATAGTATTTTATAATCTACAGATAATAGATGTCAAGATATTTCTTTCATTCTTGTGTCAAGATTACGTCGCCAGCCGGGGAATTACCTATAGCGTCGCCATCTACCGAGGCTTTTTGTCATTAAATTCTATTTTGATCTTCAATAGCGTCAAAATGCTGTCTAAATTCAGTAAAAATAATTTTTAATATTTGAAAAATATCTAATTGATTTTTAAATAATTATTATTCTCTTTTAGTAATTCGTGGATAGTTCTACATTTAATTTAAGTTTGCGTCGCACGAACTGGCCGCTTGGAGGCGCTGTATTCTAGTTTTGGTAGTAAGCTCGCCTGCTATCCTAGCCGATTGGAGTCAAAATGGTAAGTGTGCTTTTTCTATATTCTTAGCTAGAGGAGATAGTATTGGATATGATATGGTGTTATTATGATAGACCTTTAAACTAATTACTATATTAATATTTATAAATTTATGTAAGTTTTTGTAATAGTTGTCTTAGTCTAGAAAAAAGTCTGCGCTGCCTGCTATATTTAGACGATACATGTTGAGATATAGTGTTTGCTGATGTTGAGAACATATGTGTTTCTGCGTAGAAATTTATAACAGATAACTCGATACGGTAGTTGTCGTTGAATTTCTTGTCATCAATTGGTCTTTCAGAATTCTCACGCTTAAATTTAATCGTTCAAAGTTAACCTACAGACGGTTGAAACCGTCAGTAAGATTTCAATGCTCTCAAAATTTCTTTTCTCATAGATCCAATACCAATTATAAAAAGTGTATACTATAATAATGACCCATTTATGTTCATGCCAGCAATTTAAAGCTTTTTCCAAACGTTTAAACGTCTCCTCACAATATAATACCAACAATTTTAGTGACAAAAAACAAGTCCCACCGGGTCGTTCATTATACAACTTGTATAGTGTCGTCCTGACTAGTAGCGCCATCTCTTGATGCATTTTGTAAACATTTACGCCTCTTGGCTATTTCAATTTATAAAATGTATTGTGTTTAATGCCTCAATGTATCTTTTATAACTTGTAAAATGTACAGCGAATTTTTAAATATTTTTCTGAGTTGTAAAATAGGCTGATAATGGGCCATTCTAAGAACTGCGATCGTCACGTGATCATGTTTGCAGTCGCAGCGGCCTGGCTTCAGGGAATTACCGTCTGCCGCCAGCGCCGTCTTTCGGTGCCGAGCCTTAGTAACAAAACTAATGACGTAATGCAGAGCTAAACCAAAAGTTTGAAACACACATTTTCTTATTACAGCATTCATCATCTTAAACAAATTTCCATAAATGAATAATACCACCAATTTTTGGAATGTTTTTGAAACTACGTGAATATTTTAAACGCGCAGGGATGTTATCGAGCCCACGTGTATCTCGGTGAATTACCTCTCCCGTCCTTGTCAACTCTCGCGTCAAAAAGGCTGTGCTTTCTCTATACGATTCCGGTGAAAGGAGTTTTACGAATATAATGACCGTAGATGTATGAGCTAGTGGGGAATTTTGTTGCGTGAAAAAGAATGGCAACATGTCAAACCCGATCCTTGTTTGGACATATATCGATGACTCTAGCATTCTGACAATCAAATGTTTTATACATTTTATTTGATATCCAAACTAATTTACTAAATTCGAATGATGTTTTCTCTTATTTCATATCCCAGTGCCAAAATATTTGGCATCTAGCTTTATATAGACTTTCGATATTAGTATGATGGTTAAATGAACGTCTGCCGTTGATTAAAAGAATCTGCTGTGGTGGTTCTACTCAGCTTCAGACAAGGTTGTTCCCAACATGAGAAGAAGAGACACCTTGGCTGCTAGTCGTGACTCAGATTCAGACAAGGTTGTTCCAAACATGAGACGAAGAGACACCTTGACTGATAGTCCTGACTCAGCTTCAGACAAGGTTGTTCCCAACATGAGAAGAAGAGACACCTTGGCTGCTAGTCGTGACTCAGATTCAGACAAGGTTGTTCCAAACATGAGAAGAAGAGACACCTTGGCTGCTAGTCGTGACTCAGCTTAGACAAGGTTGTTCCCAACATGAGAAGAAGAGACACCTTGGCTGCTAGTCCTGACTCAGCTTCAGACAAGGTTGTTCCCAACATGAGAAGAAGAGACACCTTGGCTGCTAGTCCTGACTCATCTTCAGACAAGGTTGTTCCCAACATGAGAAGAAGAGACACCTTGGCTGCTAGTCGTGACTCAGATTCAGACAAGGTTGTTCCAAACATGAGAAGAAGAGACACCTTGGCTGCTAGTCCTGACTCAACTTCAGACAAGGTTGTTCCCAACATGAGAAGAAGAGACACCTTGGCTGCTAGTCCTGACTCAGCTTCAGACAAGGTTGTTCCCAACATGAGAAGAAGAGACACCTTGGCTGCTAGTCGTGACTCAGATTCAGACGCAGGTGTTGGTTGACAGTGCTTACTTTTAATGGCACTCCATAACTTCACCATTCACATCGTTTCTTCTGCTTTCGAATCTTTCAGCAGGCCGAGCCTTACCACATTCTGTTGATGTCTGGTAATCCGATTATTATATATTGGTAGCTAACCGCCCAGTTTTAATGGCCGTTCTGGGCCTATAAACACATTCTAAATAACATTTCTGCAGTTTGAAAATAATGTTAATATTAAACATAATCGTAAAGGTGTCCAAGAAGTCGATGGACGAGTGATTAAAACCCTCGATTCCCGACAGCCATGAACCAGGATCGAATCCCGCATTGGATCCTTTGTTTAAATATGTGAATAACGTTCACATATTATTCATTGTTGCAAATATCATAAATCTGGTTGCTCTATTCGAGCGGTACCTATTAAAGTTATTTTGGAAAGGTGTCCACGCGGTGTGGTGTAGTGGTTCTTGAATGGTAGGTAAATAGGGCTCATTCCAACAAAGTGGGTAAAGTAGCATTAGAGGTGAAGAGATAGTTCCTGGAAATTAGCTATTGTTTCAATTTTCACTGTGTGGAGTTTGAATGGATGATTGGGATTTTTGTTGAAGAATTTATTATTATTATTTAAAATAATTTTTTTGTGAAAAACTGCCTCTAGTGCGTCCCACGTGTGTAATATCCGAGACTGTTTGGATGCGGCGAGTATCTAATCTCCAAGTGGCGACAGTGATATGCTGATACATCAGGTCTCCAATGTAGACTCCTCTTTATGCAAAGATCCGAAGGTTGCGTATTGTTGTCTACAATCAAACAATTGTAAATTGTTTTTATTAAAATTTTAAAAATATATGGCTTTCAAAATGACCATTCTCTCCTATACAGGCTTTTACCAAAGAAATCAACTAGCTATCAAAGCTATCAATCGACGTAAAGAATGTTCCACCATCTTGTACAAAAATAGCGAAATACCTAGATCTCAGCGAAACCGATGGAAGGACTCATCACTGATGAGCTAGGCATAACCAATAATTTTCCTATTGAAGAAATGATAATAGACAATTGGTTTATCAAAGAAAATATCGCGCTAAGAGTTTCGCAATTCAATAGATCTGC